CTTCTGCTTCTGGATTGTAAAATTGCATTTGGTTTAGCTTGCAGATGGAGTGCCAACTTCAGCACGCCAGAAGGGTGGAAACCATGCAGCCACCCAATTTTCATCTCCTCAAGAGGTTGATCTTTGCAAATCTACAAAAACAGTGTGTCTGGTAGGAAAAACCTGTGACTTTTGCTGCCTGAGTTGTTTGAAGAACATTACTTACATTCATTTTGCAATGAGCTGTTAACTTTGGAATATTATTTAGGGGATGTTTTGACTTTTAGTAAGGCCATCAAAATAATATGTTGAGCAAAATGTTTTTATTATATTATTACAGAGGCAAAGTAATATTTTTAATTGGACCAATTTCTGTTAGTGAGAGAGACTAGCTTTTGAGCCACACAGAGCTCTTCTTTCAGGTCTGTTAAAGGTTCTAGATGTTACCGCTAAATGTTAAGGGACCATTCGGCAGAAGTGATCACCTCGCTCACCTTGTCTTGGTAATATCCTGGGACTGACATGGTTACAGCTAAATGTTACTTAGTGTACACATAGGCTGTGTCTAGACTGGCCACTTTTTCCGGAAAAGCACTGACGATCTCATGTAAGATTGTCAGTGCTTTTGCGGAAATACTATGCCGCTCCCGTTCGGGCAAAAGTCTTTTTCCGAAAAACTTTTGCGCAAAAGGGCCAGTGTAGACAGCAAAGATTTGTTTTCCACAAAAAAGCCCCGATCGCAAAAATGGTGATCGGGGCTTCTTTGCGGAAAAGCGTCCAATCTAGACGTGCTTCTCTGAAAATACTTTTAACGGAAAACTTTTCTGTTAAAAGCATTTCCAGAGAATCATGCCAGTGTAGACGTAGCCATAGTTATGCCGAGAGCAAGGATAGATGGACATAAACTTGCTTAACAGACATGCCTTGTATTAGAAATTAATATTCTATATGTCGATATATTAAACATTCATCACTGTGATTGTTCATGTATCTGCTTGTTAATATGGATGTCTCAGGAATTAGAGGTACTGCCAATCAGATATAGCTACATTTAATTCCTCAAGTTACTTCAGGGTATGGCAGAGGTGTGCAGTTTTTTTTGAACATGCAAGCAGTAATACCTAACTGCAAAAAATGCAGTGGCACCTTTTTCTTTTCACTCTAAAAACCAGGTTTTTGCATATTATGTTTATACTGCAGTTGAACTGTCTACGTTTTTATCATCATAAAACCTTGGAAATGGTTCTAAGGAAAATAGCATACTATAGTGCAACACACTGGAAGTGAGATCCTGACTTCCTGTTGGTTACTGTACTGGCTAAAAAAATTATGGGGAAAAAACCTCTAGTAATGTGCAGTTGTATCTTGCAGTTTATAGTGGTAACTTATTTTTCCTCACTTACAGTATTGTGGTTTATAATGGCAATAATGAATAGTTAGGGCATTTTCTGGTCAGTTAATGACTGGTGAGGTTAATGACTCCATTCCTTCAGCAAGTCACTAATTGCTAGGAAATAATGTGTCCTCCCCAGCAATCATTATTACTTTAATGTATGTGCAATGTGGCCTACTTATGGCTGCTGTGGGAACCACAGTTTTTTCTGAGGTTTAAAATCTGTTTAAACAATGCAGAAAGGGTTTGTTTTGTTTTTTACATCTAACTATAAACAGTTACAAAATGAGCATCAGTGTGATAGATTTAGCTTGAGAATTTGTTAAAGAATACCTTTTCAGACTCACTATATTTGTATTTTATTATATGGCCATGCAAAAAACACAATTGAGGGAACAAGTTTATACACTGTGGAGTCAGTTTTCTGGATTTGTTCACAGCATAAAGGGCAATGTGTTTATGTACTGTTTTGTGAACTCCTATATAATCGTCATCTCATAAAATAAGGTGTATAAAGTTCGTTCTGTTATGGTAACTGTAAATAACATTGTCAAAACAATCTGATGATTGGTAATTATTCACTTGGTATGTTAGTTCTGTGTTTTCCATGGGAAGATGATTCCAAATGGTGATGAAATGTTTGTAATTTTCTGAAATGTAATTGTCAAATTTTAAACACACTGTTAATCATAAAATCAGTTTTCCTTAGAGGTATAGCTTTGGATCAAATTGCAGCCTCCTAGAGAACACCCAGGTTACGTCTACATTGCGCTTTCTTGTGCAAGAACAAATGCAAATGAGGAGTGGCAATAAATATTGCTGTGCCTCATTTGCATATTTAATGAGCCACCATTTGCGCAAAGGGCTTTTGCACAAGGAGCAATCTACTCCTTCTTGTGCAAAAGCTCCCTCCTGTGCAAGAGCAGTTCTGCCTGAAAATAAGCAGCAGAACAGCTCTTGCGCAAGAGGGGATTTTTGGACAAGGAGCAGTGTAGAGTGCTCCTTCTTGCACAAAAGCCCCTTGCGCAAAAATGGCTGCTCATTAAGTATGCAAAGGAGATGAGGCAATATTCATTGCCGTGCCTTATTTGCATATGTTCTTGCTCAAGAGAGCGCAATGTAGACATAACCCCAGCGCTCACTTCATTAAGCTGATCACCTTCATATCAAACTTGTCACTAACATCTAGTGAAATTTGTTCAAAATAGACCTTGAATTTTCTTTCTTTGTGATAGGCTTCTTCACACAAAGCAGCTGACAGACGCCCTTCAAAGAGGCTCAGATGTGAAAAAAATAGTCTAGTGAAACTGGACTTACAAGAGCTTGTATCTGGAAATGGAAATATTCCCCTACTGAAAGAACCAACAGAAACTTCTGATGAGGCTCAACATTTGGGAGACTCAGTTGACCCCAATATGAAGCCTTTATACAGTAAAAGCAAAAGTGCTCCAAAAAATGAAGAGATACAGGGGGATGATGATGTTGTTTCCATAAAGCCATCTGCACTGAAGGGAAATAGCTGCCAACCAAAAAAAGAGGAAGGTGAAACTTTCCTGCAAAACCATATCCCAAATGTGGAAGAGGAGAGCAGCTGTGGAACTGCATTTTCAGATGAAGCTGGGCTAGAGACCCTGGAAAAACCAATACAATTGGATAATAGTGCCTTCTTAGACGAGGACAGTAACCAGCCAATGCCGGTGGACCGATTCTTTGGTAACATTGAGTTCATGCAGGTAAGAATAAAACTCTGAAGTGTATTTTGTTGTTAATTCTGCTCTTATGAACTCCTGTCTAGCCTTTAAGTCTGTATGTCCAAAGAGTGTTAAAGTAAATTTGACCAATATTGACACACTATTAGAGAAACATCTTGATCTATTGGATAGAGCTGGTTGAAAATCTTTCAACTGAACAATTTGCTGGGATTTTTTTTAAAGCCGTTTCATCTAAAATGGCATTTTTCAGGAACTGTTGATTTTGAGAGGAAAATGTCTAAATGTTTTTTTGAGCTTTATCATTTTGTTTTGATAAGGTGAAACTTCATTTCAATATCAAGGTTTTTACTTTTTTAAGTATAAGATCATATTTCATATTCTAATATAACACCCAAACATTTTGACCTCAGTAAAACAGTGTTTCAGTGGTTCTGATTGGTATTTTTAAGATATTTCTACTACATCAGCTCTACTAATGGATTGAGTGGATTTTGAGTTCTATTCTCAGATCCACCACTGACACATTGTAGTCTTGAACTCCATATACTCTTTTTTTCCCACAGCTGTTTAATAATGAATAATACTTAACCATCACACAGGGGCAATGTGGGGATTTTTTGGTGGAGCACTTTTCCCAATACTTTTTTCCCAAGTATTTAAAAAAAAAAAAAAAAAAGGCAGATATGTTTTGCTCTGAGCATGAGTTCATGTAAGTAGTTTGAGTAGATTCACCTCAGATTGCTTCTGCTTTTACTTAAGACCTATGTGAATACTGTCAGCTATAGGAGGGTATATGTTAAGCATATACCAGCTGTATAAAGTTATGTGAAATATCTGTATGAGATGGGTGTTTTGGTTGCTACAACAGCTGGCTTTTGTTAATATCTCCTCTTTCTTAAAGGATCTCCCAGCAGCTGCACTCACGTGCACTGCAATGAGCAGGCGAGAACTTAGAAAGCTGCACTTCATTGCAAAGGAGGACGACGACGATGATGCACTTTAAGCACAGAATGCAAAAAAGATGAAACCTTAAATTGTCTATTTTTCTAAGTCTGTTAAAATAATTAGTGATCCTGTTACACTTACCCATCCTACCCGTTATATTTCATTGGCATGACATCTTTCTACAAATGCCTTTCCTAGAGAGAGACTTTCTATGGGAATCCTAGACAAAATGCAAAACCACAAAGTTGAATGTGTAAGTGGGCAAGTGCCTTTACTAGAGACTGGAAGTATGAAGTCTGCAGGATTTAGAAGCCATATCTACTGATTTACCAGTTTAACAGACTTAAAAGACTTGTGACTAAGCAATTGTACTTTATCTCCTTTTGTTGTGAAGAGGACCGGCAAACAGAGCATTATGTAAATCTGAGCTCATACAACACAGGTCGCAGTGAGCTAACAGTGATCTTCTTAAAAAGAAAATCTTCAAATCAAAATGTGACTAACTCATTTGTATTATTATTGTATGATGTTCTTCATAGGTGCCTGGTAAGTAAGCTTCTGGTACCCAGTACCTAAGAGGGAGTCCATCCTGTATTCCTTATGTTTAGTGTTATACTATTTGTTTACCTCTGAATCTAATCAATTTAACTTACAAACCATTACATTGCAGTTCTGTTGGGAAAACCGACTCTGTGCAAATGTCATTGTGGGTTTGTTTTTGTTTCTAGATGACCAGATATGCTTATTTTACAAACGAATATGAGCGCTTTACTCTGTCCATTCAACAAACTCCACCTGTCACCCGAGAGACAAGCTGGGCTTTCATTCCTTCACATGTATTACCCGCTGTAAAAATACTGCAGGATAAATATTTCCCTCATTCATACCTATGGAACCTTACTCTTTTTCTTCAGTTGGTGTACACAGCTATTACTGATGGAAGCTCAGTAAACAATTGTGTTAATGCTCAAGAAAGAATAAAAACTAATCTCTGAGCTTTTTTCAACAAGTTAGAAATAGGTGAATTGGAGCTGACCATATAGAATAAGGTTGGTCTGCCTGATTTTCCCAGGTTGTAATGGTTTTGGGAAATGAGCAGTTTCAGTTGCCTTCATGAAAATTATTTAATCTAAAACTAAGAACACTTCATCGAAAGTAGTAATTAGGTAATAAGCTTCAAGATCTTTATTTTTTTTAACTTTGAATACTTGTTTCCTACTTTTCTAGAAATATAGAGAACATTTCAGCAGATGGCTTACATAAATATTCATTTCTAGTGCTATTGCCTATTAAGCATTCACATATAAGCTGAACAAATTGTATAGGGTATATTCATTCACTTATTTTCATTTCATTGGATATGCTATTACTGTCAACGTCTTACTGCTTTCCTCTTTTCTAATGCAGTAATATGAAGGCATTTAAAATAGTGTGGCTATGGTTTAACAAATATTGCTGTAACCCCGATAACTCTGCACTTCAGGGTTTTGGAGATTTATATTTGAACCTCAAATGTCTGTTCAGGTCGAATAAGATTTTAATGGCATCTTAAAAGATATGAAATTATTTAGGGGACATAGTACATAGATCACATTACTACATTGGTTAGCAGGTTAAGAAAAGGATCTTCATTATGACATCTTCACAAATATTGTCCTGAAGTAAATGTGTAATTTCCTATTTACAAGGTATTAAAACAGTTACACATTACTATGCAGTTGTTTTGATTTTATTAAGTATGTTTAAAAATTAATGGGGACAAGTACCTATTGCAACAGGTATAGCCCTGCTTTGAAAAGGTACTGACTCAGGCATTCAGCATTGCTGCTGTCCAGTTATTTTTGGAGTTTGTTACTCACCTTGAAGAGGCCCCTTGAGATAGGAGATAAGGCAGGTATGTTGTACCGAGTGTTTCACAAAAGCTAAATATACAACTTTGTGCCTAACTATTATTCTAGCCTGATAAATTTATATTTCACACTATCAGAAGGGGGTCTTAGTTCATTTGATTGTGCCCTAGTTGCTTGTACATGCCCTGTCTCTCCTTTATGGTTATACTCAAAGCAAAAGATGCCGAAACGTTCTTTATTAAACATATAAAAATGCATTTTTACATTTACATAGTTCCTGAGAATTTGGTTGACATAAGGTCATCATTTTTTTAAAAAAAATCATTCACAGTTTACTGCATAATTAAGAGAGAGAGAAGAGCACAGCTGAATTGACAATTACAAAAGACATTGGACATACAATTGCTTTTCCAATAATATCCTTCAGAGGTACTGCAGGAAAAGCAATCAAGGAAGCTGAAAGATGGTATTTTTTTTAAAAAAAAGTGGGGGTGGGGGAAGAGGGACATGAACCAAGCACAAAGAAAGAATATAACACGGATCATAAGCTTTTGTGGGTGCTTTGAAGAAGTGGATTGCACCTACGAAAGCTCCTTTTGTGGGTGCTTTGAAGAAGTGGATTGCGCCTACGAAAGCTCATACCAGCTACATGTTTTGTTAGTCTTTAAGGTGCTACTAATCTAAGTTTTTACTTTTATATCATTTAGAAAACCACAGCAAAGAGCCACCTTCAGGAAAGGCGCTTTCTAAAGAAAGTCTTACGCTTTCTTTTGGTATATATTTTAGTTTTGTCACAGGTGAGATTATGGCTGGCTTTTTTGTGGCAAGCAATATGCACTAATTTTAGATTATCCAGAGTAAACAGCAACCGATAGAAATATTCCCAGTCCACTTTCCTTCCATCTTGTTCTTTGATCGCTTCTGCAAGGGTTGGGACAATGGTACGTTTCTTCTCTATCCTGCAATATACAATGAGGAGCATTTCACGTTATTAGCAGTAAAGTGTGTTTTTTTTTTTTGTTTTTTTTTTAAAAGAAACCATGTATGTATTTGCTAAAGAAGTGATGGGAAAGATTTTTCTATACTGATACTAGGATAGGTGTGGCGGTAAGGTTTTTTTTTTTTTTTTTTTAAATTCTAAAGAAAGGAAGCTGGAACTGATTTGCAGTCACTGCTGCAGTGCCTCCTGCTGACTAGTCCTGGGAATTGGTTCTTCCAGTCCCAGAGTGCCCTCCTCTGTTTGGTGTCTAACCTCCCAATTCTCCATCACAACACTGTGTCCCTCCCAGACTGAAGTACCATCTTCTACTGCGTACTGCCCTACTGCAGTGCCCATGTTCTGAGTCTTCCCCTCCCTAGGAACCCAATTACCCCAAGCCCCACTACTTGCCTCAGTGACCCACTGCCATCCTTCCTCTAGCCCAGGGGTGGGCAATAATTTTTAGTGGGAAGTCACACCAGTAATTTGGTAAGTGGTCAGGGGCCACGCTTTTCTACAATATTAAAGAAGGGTGTGTGAAGTCCTGGAGGGAATTGGGGTAGGGGGTTGAGGTATAGATTCAAGAGGGGGTTCTGACCTGGGTAGGGATGCTGGTGGTGAAGGGCCAGGGAAGGAATTTGGATGCAGAAGGGTGTTGTGATGTGGGGCAAGGTATTGGGGTGCCAGCTGAAGGCTCTAGCAGGGAGGTGTTTACTGTAGGATGCTCTTGACCAGTGGCCTAGCAGGACCCTCAGACAGGTTCCCTGTGGCCCCCCACACCACTCAAACCAGCTGATTGCTAGGGCCAGTGTGCATCTGTGTGGTTTTCTCCTTGGGCATGCGAGCAGCAGGTTTCCATGTACTGCCTGTGTCTGCAAGCACTGCCCTTATACTTACCATTGGCCAGTTTCACCCACCCCCTTTGGGGTGTGCCACTGAGAGACACACATTATCCCCACCCATGGGCCACTTTGAGCAGCATGTGGAGTGCAGCAGCCAGAGGCCGTATTTTGCCTATCCTGGCTTTAGCCTCTTTCTTTGGGGACAAAACTGCAGTCAAATTTGGCCATGCTCATCACTGGCAAGGAGGAGGGACCTTCCGCCTACTTCTACCCTGGCTATCCCTCTGCAGCCCTAGTACCACCTCAAGGCTTTACAAGTAGTCCTCAGAGCCTGGGAGTTGGCCAGGCCAGAGCTTCCCAGCTCCTCCTGCCTTTCCCCAGCACTGCTCTGTCCAAGGTACCTTGATCGATATAGGCAGCAAGTCTCTGGAGAAGAAGGCTGGTCTGCAACCCTTTTTATAAAGCCTGACCCTGACAGGGTGTGAGGCAGCCAAACTGGCTCCCAGGACAGCCCTCTGCCAGGGCTGATTTTAACCCTTTATGCACCACTGTGGAGAACCACCCCATCACAGGACCCTAGAATCTTAGTAATTTCTAAGTGCATAACACATTAAAATTCTTCAGGCAGGGACAGAAATGGACGAGAACAGTCAACTGATGAGTTAGTGGGTAATGTCTGTAATACAGAGAAGTTGGAGGATAAGAGAAGAGGAGCTAATGATGAATCCACTAGAAGTAGGATTGATTCTAGAGTTCTATATGTCTATCCACTGCAGTATTAGAGTACATTCCATCTCAGTGGACTTTAGATAAAATGAGCAGGCAACCATCAGATTTCCCCATAAGATGAAAACAAGCTGGGTGGTAACTTATTTGACACTGAAGGTGGACAGTGTGTAACAGGTATGTTGGGTTTAATGTGTATTTTATATATAAGTTTTTCCTGCCAAACGACAAAATGTTCCTGCTGGGCAACAGAATGACGTCAACAGGCTCAGTGAAGCAAAAAGCAGCCAGAGAGAGGGAGATAGGCAAGCAGAGGGCCCTTAGTACTTACATATGATCGAGATTCCAGGTACTGAAGAGGATTCTGCTCTCCCTGTTACTGTAGGGATTGATGGAATGTTTATACAGGCAGTAATCCTCATCAAAAGGACCCTGTAGTGGGATGGTATTCGCTCAGCAAAATGTACTCAACTTGTTGCATTGGAAAAGATATGGGAAGAATCAAGATCATTCATTGAAAAAGTCTCCCCTTAGAAATACAGGAGATAGTTCATTCAAGCTATATTGACTCCAGCCCACTCCCAAATGTTAATAGTTTTTCCCTGCAAAAAGTAAGCAAGCAACTCCAGAAACTAACGTATGCTTGTATTTAATTGGGTATTGAAGCTATTTCTTTCTCCTCAAATCCCATCAGTATAGAGCAATGATTCCCAACCTATGGTCTGTGGACCCCTGGGGGTCTGCAATGGTATTGTAGGGGGGCCATGGAAAGTTTATGAACGGAAAAGTTAGGATCGGGCCCACCACAGGACAGGGACTTTCCAGCAGGCAATTCTCATCTGGAGCTTGCTGTTCGTGACCAGCCGCACGCACTCTGCCTCCCACCCTTGGGATGGGATCTTGATACTCCAAAAGACACCATCTGTCCTCCCGCCAACAAACACGCTGCTCTTTCCACTCCAGCCCTTTCCCTCCTCTCAGGCCTGCGGTGAGCCCGATCCTTACTTTCCTTTTCCTTTTCTTTTTTTCTCCCCCAGGGCCCCATGCCCCACCAAGGGCAGAATGCCAGAGCAGGAGCTGCCTTTGGCCACGAGAGCCCCCTCTCCATATCCTCTATGGATCAGAGGGGGCAGGTGCTGAAGCAGCAGCACGGGCCAAGGGATGTGCTGGCCACCACTTCCAGCCTCTGTCCCGGGGGGGGGGGTCCGTAAAATTTTAGCAGATTGAAAAGAGGTGCGAAGGCTCAAAAAGGTTGGCAACTACTGCTGTAGAACATGCAGCACTTACTGCAGTAGAGAACTCTGGCTAAGAAATGACTGAAACATGTGCCCTTGTAAGGGGTGAATGGGGGCAGCTCTTAGCATGGTGAAACTTTCAACAAAGATTGGCAAGCTAGTACTGGTGCCCTGCTACCGCTGTTTTACAACAATTTGTGGATCAGGTTCAGGACAGCAGATGTGAAATCCAATTTTTAGCTTAGAAAGGGCAAGAAACAAGTGCTCATCTAAAGCTGGGTGTTGTTTACACAACAGTTGGCACCATGCCCTGCTGAAAGCCTTAATGAAATGTCAACCTAAATCAGACATTTACTTAACTAAAATACAGAACCCTGGACAGCCTTCTTGCCCCATGAAGGCTTGAATTTGTTCAGCAGTATGACAGTCAGCAAAAGGACAGTGTCAACCTAAACACGATGTAAATAAGTTTATCGTCCACACCCTTTATTATTTTAGGTGGTAATTTGTCACAATTTGTTTCTCAAAAGCAAGATGCTCAAAGTAATAGTTTCATGCTCAGTGCTGCAATGTTGAAAATAATATTCCAAAAAAATAGTTGTTGGTCTTAAGTCTTATTTAAATTTAGTAAAATACCAAAGAATTGTATATGAGAACTAATTATGCTGGCTGCGTCCTTCAGTCACTGTAAGAAGGTCGCTTGTTTCTCTTCAGTTTAATAGTTTGCAGTGCCCAGAGGCTTATTCTGCCTTTAAATGCATAACTCCCATTACCATTTATTTTCATAGCATAACACATCAAACATCCTGTACACACACTTATTTGTCTTAGAAATAGCTTCTTACTTGACAGGAGAACCATCCTTCAGTAGTGCAGAGGCGGACCACCTCCTCCTCTCTTCTGTCAAAGTAACAGCCATTATATTTAACAGACTTCAGTTTATCCAACATAGAGTCAGTTATTCTTTTATATTCTGCTTGTGCCGCTGGATGAACAGCTGAAGTATAACTGCTAACCTTTAAGAAAATAAAAAGCACTATGTCATTCCTAGCTCAGGCAGTATTGCACTCGGAATCTACACAATAAATACAATAGCTTTAAATGTAAAACTTAAATAGCTTCATAGCTATTTATGGAAAATAATCAGCTCTCTGGCTCTAATGCAAAGATTTATTTTTAATAGCTGGAAACCAACCTACATGCAAAACAGCTATTTTTACCTCTTTCATATAACTTCGTATTCTGCTTTCACAACTGTACCTCATGTAACTTGATTTATTCTTAAAGCGAGACTCTATACCTAAAAGAAATAAAATACATATTTTGTGATTTGCTTCTTGTATAAAAAAATCTTGAAGGTGTTTTAACTGGCTTGAATCCGGCACCTTTTCTTTATAAGTGAATCTGATTATTTATTTGCTTTGCTTTTCTATTCATAAGATAAGCACTCTGGACCCCAAGAATATCTTACTATTTTGGCTTTACCTAGGGCTCAGCATCTTGTTTGCACTTAGTAAATCATATAACAATAACTGATTTTCACAATATTCCTTGATGTGCTCATACCTGGAATATTATGTTCAATTCCAGGCATTTTTGTGATCTGTAAAAGGGAATATCTATCTAAATATAAAGAATATAAATTAAAAAAATCTAAACACTAAAGAGTTGCCCAGAGATTATATATGTAGAAAAAATGGGAGGGAAGAGGAAAAACTGACAGAACTACTATGTGTGCAGCACTGTTCCCAAAAAAATGGTGGAATCCCCTTCTCTTGGGTCATTTTAGCATTAGCTTTAATAAAGCACTGAGGAATTCAGGAAAAAATCATTTGTCGTCAAATCAAAGATGGAAACAATTTTAAAAGATCTATAACCTGTCTGAGAGATTTAGCTGCTATTCTGATACAGAACTTACCTTCAAACCACCTTGTGTCTTCCTCTCTGCTTTCAGCCAAAATGTTATCACTGACGTTTTGAATGAGATCCACTAGAAGCTTCTGTCTCTTGGGAGCCTGCTCTTCTGATAGTAGCTTTTGTGCAGCCTCAACAAAGTCCTTTTTGTGTGTGTAAAATGTGTTTAAGATGTGATCGATGTCACTGACAACTGTAATGTTAAATGAAGAAAAAGTTAAACTAGTGCTAGGCAAATTTATGTAGCCTGAACTGTGTTTCCAGCTAGGATTTTGGTGTGTTCCATAAAACAAGTTTATTAGGTACTATATTAAAAATATCTTTAAAAAGAGTATTATGCTATTTTTCAACATGTATATACACTTGAATCTCTTTAATCTGGCAACTCTTGGGAATCAGAATATGACAGACTGAAGATTTTGCTGAGTCAGGGAGGTCACTGTCCGGTCTGGGCCTGAAGGGGTGGAGCTCTGCATTCTAACCACTATGGGAGCAACAGGGAAAAGCCTCAAGGGAAGCAGCTCGGCACACTTCAGTTCACCCAGGGAACAAGGGGACCAGCAGTATGCAGGACTACTTCCTCCTCTACAGCAGGGGTGGTCCTGGATTAGTGACACCCCAACATATGGAGGTTTGTGTATTAACTAAAAATAATAAAACTAAATCTAAAACAGCATTAACAACTTCCTGGTCTTTCAGAGGAAATCTTGGAGCAAAGGGTTTCCTTCAGGCCAAATTCACAGAATCATAGAATTCTAGGGCTGGAAGAGACAGGAGGTCATCGAGTCCAGCCCCCTGCCCAAAGCAGGACCAACCCCAACTAAATCATTCCAGCCAGGGCTTTGCCAACCTGAGACTTAAAAACCTCTAGGAATGGAGATTCCACCACCTCCCTAGGTAACCCATTCCAGTACTTCACCACTCTCCTAGGCTACGTCTACACTGGCCCCTTTTCCGGAAGGGGCATGTAAATTTCACGAGTCGTCGTAGGGAAATCCGCGGGGGATTATCTGCCACTCCTGAGAACAGCCTCTCTCCCTCCTCTTTGGAGCCCCCCTTCAGGTAGCTGAAGGCTGCTAGCAAATCCCCCCTCACTAGTCTTTTCTGCACACTAAATAAGTCCAAAGCCCTCAGCCTCATCTCACAGGACATGTGCTCCAGCCCCCTAATTCCCACCAACTTTTTCACGTTGAATAGCACCTCCCTCCCAACTTCAACGTGACTGCGTGGGCAGTAAGATTCCATTTGGAGTGAGTAAAGGCATCTTGACTTTTATTCTATACCTTTTATTCTACACCTACTGGAATTTTCAGAGTGACCAACTCTGAAAAAATGAGGAAAATTTCTTCCAGTTTATTTTTAATCATGCTAACATAGTAACACGTCACTAATCAGCGTGTTGCCCATTTTACACTTTTCATTAAGTGGGTGAACAAAACCCCAATGGTAATGCATCCAAACATATTTAAGATTAGCTTTAGTTTTTAATAGTTCAGACTAGTAAATGCATAGTAGAATATAATTAAGTTTTAGTGTGGTATCATACTGCTTTTACAGCTTCATAAACTGAGGCATAAGGCAGCCTTTACAAGGTTAAGTTGAGCAATATTTGCAAAGATGGAGAATAAAACCCCAAATTCTGACTACTTCCCAATTGGAGTTTTGAAATGTGAAACTTTTTAAGTTGCAAGATAAAGTGAATTTTCCCCCCACTTACAACCCTGCCAGGTCTCCCACGGGGCTAGCAGTACAAGGTCCGTATTGTCTGCAACATGTCTGAAGTAGCCTTCAGTCAGTTCTGTCCCATCTTCATACAAACACAGCCGGCCCTCAGGAGAAGAAAGCTGTTCACAACAAGAATACACACAGAAACACGCTGTCACTTTAATAAAGTTGGGAAATGGACACAGAAAACTTCACATGTAAACACTGTCCTGATGAAGTGGAGGGTTACATTGTCTGCTAGAGCAGCGAGGAGTCCTGTGGCACCTTATAGACTAACTGAAGTGTTGGTGCATAAGCTTTCGTGGGCAAAGACCAATGCATCTTACGAAGTGGGTCTTTGCCCATGAAATCTTATGCTCCTATATATCTGCTAGTCTCTAAGGTGCCACAGGACTTCTCTGTTGGATAGTAATACAGAGGTAGCCATGTTAGTCTGATCTTGCTTAAACAAAAGGAAAAAACAATGTAGCACTTTAAAGACCAATAAAATGGTTTAATAGTTGATGAGCTTTTGTGGGCCAGACCCACTTCCTCAGATCTGAGGAAGTGGGTCTGGCCCACGAAGGCTCATCAACTATTAAACCATTTTATTGGTCTTTAAAGTGCTACGTTGTTTTTTCCTTTTGGTTTAACAGGACTTCTCATTGTTCATGTAAACTCTGTTACGGAAATAACTCATCCTAAACCCAAAACTCCAGTCATCTGAAGAAGTGGGCTGTGCCCACAAAAACTCATGATACCATTTACGGCTATGTCTACATTGGCATTATCTTGCGCAAATACTCTTTAATGCAAGTGTTCTTACGTTAAAGTATTTGCGCAAGAGAGTGTCTACCCTGGCATATGCCTTTGCGCAACAGATGTGCTTTTGCACAAGAGCATCCGTGCCAGTGTAGACGCTCTCTCGCGCAAGAAAGCTCTGATGGCCATTTTAACAATAGGACTTGCTTGCACAAGAAATTTATGTTGTCTGTCTACACTGGCCTCTTGCGCAAGAACAGTTGCGCAAGAGGGCTTATTCCTGAGCGGGAGCATCATCGTTCTTGCACAAGAAGCCCTGATTTCACACGAGAACGTCAGCGTTCTTGCACAAGAACTCACGGCCAGTGTAGACACCGCGCGGCCAGTGTAGACAGGCAGCAAGTTTTTGCGCCAAAGTGGCCGCTTTTGTGCAAGATCGCGCCAATGCAGACACAGCCCAATTGTTTTATTAGTCTGCACAGCCTATGTACTAGTATAGCCAGCTAACCTGGCTTCAATGCCACTTTAATTGAATTTAACCTAATTAAAAAAAACATGCCCTTTTGTCCATCAAGAAAAAGGCAGTTCTCACTAAGTTAAGAGCCTGCATCTTAAGTGGAAAGCCTTCTTAAGTATGTCACACCCATTGCTCATTTTACTCAAAGTCCAAGAATTGACAAGAGTTGGACCACCATATCACCAAATGCTTGTTTATCACAGGTCACTTAAACATAACCCAACCACCATACTAAGCACAAACAGCCAGTATTAGACTGACCTGTTAGAGGCAGAGTCATTGTAGCTCAACTGATGTATTAGCACATAATCAGAGGGCTCTTTTCTCAAATTTCTCCCATTCAGCCAACATTAGTCTGTTCATGTTAATTAGGAGGAATGGAGCATAGCTGAATAAAGGAATTTTAAAAATATAGGTTTTCTTGTTGAAAACAAAAGCAACATTTTTAAAAGGGAGAACATTTAAAAGGTGTCTTCTGCAAAAAGTATTGACATACTAAAAAGTTACATGGAACATTCAATGTGCCAAGTTCATGTGGCACATTTTTATATTAAATTCCATTTAAAGAAGGATTTTAACATACTTTAAGGCAATATTTTCAATAACAGGAGTTATGGTCCTAAATCCCAATTTAGTTTTCAAGTGTGCTAAGAAGCCAGCAATCCCCACTGAATTCAACTGGAAACAAATCCTCATTTTTATCCCCAAAGGTAAAATACTTCTATGACTATGATCTCCTGAGCTTATCTGCACACAAAGTTGCATCATTTCCTCTAAGTTTTGCAACCAATTTAAACCCATGTTTGTGTGTCTACAGGCACACAAACTCACATCAATTTATAAGTTCTTTATAGCAATGTAGCTTAATACAAGTCAGCTGGAAATTGATCAGTGCAACTATTCTATGTAGACCAGCGCTCATAAAGGGTTGAAGATCTGTAAAACATTGAGGTTCTTGGATGGAAGATGCAATAAAAATGTAAAGTGGTGATTGATGCTCAAAAAACAATTAGCTGATTAGCAATTTGCTCTCTCCTGTATTTACACACTCCATAATTTGCACAAAATCCTATTATAGAAGCATTATGCAATACTGAGGTCACAATAAAAGTACATGTTCTGATTCTTCCATTTTAAGTAGTGTAAAAACAGGACAGGAAACAGATGAGAGAGAAATTGCTTAAGTCTCTACTCAGGAACAAGAAAGAATGACAAGACCATTTATGATTTTAGTTCCAATGTTCCATAGGGGGTAGAGGGGAGGCAGCCGCAGACTATGACGCCCCCTGCTGGAGTCTTTGTTTTGTTTTGTTTCACCAACACCCAGCCCTAGCGTAGGGCCCAGCCCACCGACCCCTCCCCTCGGGCCCTCCTGGATATAACGCCTGGTTCTCAGTGCCTGAGCTCCACCTCCTGCTTCTGCACACAGCTCCTGTGTGCCGCCTCGGCAAGCCTTTCTCCCCTGGGACCCGCCCCGGGGTCACTGAGTTTTGGGAGAACTGGAGGGGAGTGCAGGCTCAGTTATTGGTCTTCTTAGGGTACGTCTAGACTACGGGCTTTTGTCGACAGAGGCTTTGTCGACAGTATGGGTATGTCTAGACTACATGCCTCTAGCAACAGAGGCATGTAGATTAGACTACCCTGCATAGGAAAATGAAGTGTCGATTTAAATAATCGCCGTTTCATTTAAATGTAAATGGCTGCCGCGCTGAGCCGATCAGCTGTTTGTCGGCTCAGCGCGGTCGTCTGGACGCTCCATGGTCGACATCAAAGGCATTTGTCGACCTCCCAGGTATGCCTCATCCCAGGAGGTCGACAAATGCTTTTGATGTCGACCGCAGAGCATCCAGACGACTGTGCTGAGCCGACAAACAGCTGATCGGCTCAGCGCAGCAGCCATTTAAATTTAAATGAAGCGGCGATTATTTAAATCAACGCTTCATTTTCCTATGCCGGGTAATCTAATCTACATGCCTCTGTCGCCAGAGGCATGTAGTCTAGATGTACCCATACTGTCGACACAGCTTCTGTTGACAGAGAGCATCTAGACTACATCAGTTTTGTCGACAAAGCAAGCTGCTTTGTCGACATAAGAGTATAGACACAAAGGACAGTGTAGATGCAATAACGCCTTCTGTCGACAGAACTCTTTTGACAAAAGGCGTTATTCGTCGTAGAATGAGGTTTACCGCCATCGACAAAACTGATGAGTTCTGTTGACGTTATGTCGACAGAGCTCATTGGTGGTATGGACGCAGGTGTAGTTTTGTCGACAAAAGTCCACATTTGTCGCCAAAACCCTGTAGTCTAGACGCACCCTTAAAGAATGGGAGAAATGGAGAAGTGTCCATGCTAAAGATGTATCGCTTTAATTACAATATATTTTATAGTCACTCGAAACAAAATGCTCCCATTCAGGTTTTACTTCTTGTAGCGAGGTTGTGGTTGGACAGTACCTGTAAGAAATTTAAGTTACTTTTACCCTTGGTATTTTGGGGGATTTCAGTCTGAGGGGGACATAAGCTTGGAGGCCTTATGATGTCACTACTAGTAAAATAACCCTGGGCTACGTCTACACTGGCAGCTTCTTGCACAAGAGCTGTTTTGAGGAAGAGTTCTTGCGCAAAAAGTCTTCCACAAGAGCGCATCTACACTGGCATGTGTTTTTGCGCAAGAGCATCTATGGCAGTGTGGACGCTGTCTTGCACAAGAAAGTTCTGATGGCCATTTTAGCCATAGGGGTTTCTCGCGCAATTAAGTCATATTGCCTGTCTACACTGCCCTCTTGCACAAGAGCTCTTGCACAAGAGGGCTTACTCCTCGTGGGGAGAGGAATAACTCTTCCGGAAGAAGACCTGTTTTCTGATGCTGGCTGTAAATTTACTTGCGCAAGAACGCGTGTGCAGTGTAGACACCTGGCAAGTTTTTGCACAAGAACAGCTGTTCTTGCACAAGAAGCTGCCAGTGTAGATGTAGCCTTGGAGTTTAAAAAAAAGTTAAAGGTCATTTACTAGCACAAGAAGTAGCCTATGCAGCGTTAATGCTGGCCGCTGTTTGCTGGGCACAAGGCATGATGAGGTTATTTAGAAGCTTAGCAAAACTGAATTTTCCTCCAAGGGGAACCATCTTATTACATGTATGTGGATAACAGTGATGAGTGCACAGGGCAGGCCACAGAAAGAATGTGTTCTGTGGCATTAAATCTGCTCCAGTTACCAGTGACTGGTTGTTCTCTGATTAATCTATTTTGTGGGTTTTGGTTGAGACTCCCAGTATTCTCCATGCATTTTATTTTAATATAATCACAAAACATGTTATTTATTTTGTCAGATGTTATAGATCATTTGTTAGTTTTCAAAGCAGAGTGCAATTTATGACAAAACAGCTTGTGAGAGTTTAAAACCAGGTGGTGGATTTTGAGGCAGAGCTTGATTAGAACAGAGGTGTTCTATTTTAGACCTTGCTGTGTTTGTAATTTTGTTGACAAATAACCTGTACGTAGACCACTTTAAGTGATGAAATGACATGTTTTAAAGGCATTATATGAAAGCAAGCATTACATGTTAGCTCTGTACCTTTTTTGCTGTGAAAGGAACTCAGTTTTATAAGATCACTACCAAGGTGGCTGCTTTTGAGAGTGGTCTTTGCTGTTCTGCCCATGCACTTCTTTCTGCTTTTGCCCAATGAGTCTGGCTGTAATATCTGAAATATTTCAATAAATCTTTACTTTTCTCAGTTCCATCATTACATAAGAATAGCCACACTTAGTCAAACCAGTTGTCCATCTAATCCAGCATCCTGTCTTCCAATAATGGCCAGTGCCAGAAGCTTCAGAGAGAGTGAACAGAACAGAACAATTTGTTGTCCGGTCCCAGCTTTTGTCAGTGTTTAGGGACATCGAAACCATGGGGTTGCATTCCTAATCATCTTGGCTAATAGCCATTTATAGACCTATTCTGCATCTGTCATACAGCTTGACAATGGGTTCCCAGGTTGACTGTGCATTGTGTGAGAAAATATTTTTGTTTGTTTGAGACCTGTTGCCTATTAATTTAATTGAGTGATCCCTGCCTAGTATGTTATATGTGAAAGAGTAACACATCCTTGTTCACTTTCTGCACATCTTTGTGATTTTATAGATCTCTATCATTACCGCCCTTTCCCAGCTATCTCTTTTCCAAGCTGAACAGACCCTGTTTTTTGTATTTTTTAATTCTCTTCGCATGGAGATATTCAGTACCCCTAGTCATTTCTGTTACACTGCTCTGTATTTTTTTCCAGTTCTCTTTTAAGATTAAGTGACCAGAACTTCATGCAGTATTCAAGGTGTGGATATACTGTGGATTTATATAGTGTCATTATATTTTCTGTTTTATTATTTATTCTTTTTCTTATGGATTACAACATTATTTTTTGACTCTGCACATTGAGCAGATGTTTTCAGAGAACTATGTCCAATGACTCCAATATTTTTTCTGTGTGGTAATAACTGATTTAGACCCCATCTTCACTTCTTCTGTCTGGGGCATCTGGCATTGGACACTGTCAGCAGACAGGATACTGGGCTAGATGGACCTTTGGTCTGACCCACTATGTCCGTTCTTATGATTATGTTAATTGTTTTGTATGTGCAGTTTGAGATTGGCAAACAATGTGCTTTACTTTACACTTATTAACACTGAGTTTCACCTGTCACTTTTTTGCCCAATCACCCAATTATGTGAGATCCTTTTGTAACTCTTCACAGTCAGTTTTGGATTTAAGTATATTGAGTAATTTTGTATCCTATGCAGACTTTGTCATCTCACTATTTATATTTTTTCCAGATCATTTCTGAATATATTGAATAGCATCGTCCCCAATACAGATCCTTGAGAACGACCCTTTTCATTGTGAAAACTGACCATTTATTCCAACACTTTGTTTTCTATCTTTTAACCAGTTACTGAACTATGAGAGAACCTTCCCTCTTATCCCATGACTCTTTGCTATTTAAGAGGAACCTTAGATGAGAAACCTTGCCAAAGACTTTGTGAAAGTCTGTTTCTAGTTTCCTTTAAATTTAAGACCATTAAAATGCTTTGAATTCTTAAGTCATGTTTTCACTAAATGGGTCCTCACACTTTTTGTTGGCTCTCACACACAGGTGGATATGGAAACCCAAATCCAATTGGAACGGTACAGAAAACAGTTTAATATAGCAGGAATTCTGAAATTCAGCGTAAGGCAAATATTGCAAAGTTCCCTCTGAGTTAGGAAGTTTTTATAGGCTTTATTAAACAATGCTTGTCAAGTTAGCTAAAACTAATACCTTTAATATTAATTAAGTTTGATAGCATTTAAATTAAGAGTCTTGATGTGCTAGTATTTATTCAAGAAAGGTCCCATGGAAGTCAACAATCATTTTGTCTTAAGTAGGGACTGCAGGAGTGGGTTGTAATTATTTAGATGTAACTTTTATAAAATGGATTAACTTAATATTAAAAAGTTATTGTTTTGATCAGCTCAACTGTGCAGAATGCCACACAAAATTGGATTTGTGGTTATCAGTTCATCTGGACATGAAGACGGCTTCAGCGCAAAAGAACTGATGGTTCATGCACCAACAGTCAATGGATGGAGATCACCGAGGTACTGTATGTGAAAGAGTTATTTATATTAAGGAAGCATTGAGGTATCTGTAAAATATGAGAAGTAATTCACAAGAAAATTATTCTGTCTTGAGTATCTGATGACATTAACAAATCTAAGATAGACAATCATAATTTAGCATAATTGCCCCCTTTCAAAAATCACAAAGAGTTTGACAAAATCCATCCCCTGCGAACTGCTCCCGGCAGCCTCCTGTGTCCACATGAGATCCCATCAAAGTCAGCTGCGTGGTCTATCTGCCCGGAACAGATTGCAGGGTGAGAGACTTCACTGGCTGAGAGCACTATGGACTGGGTACTGTAGATGCATTTCATCTCAAGCAGCCCTTATTCTTTCCCCTGCTCACACAAAAAAACCCCTCCAGAGCAGTGGTGGACAACCCATTCTGTGTGTGGTAGGGATGTTAGATATTGGCTAATTGTATATCCAAATAACCATATGAGTTCTTCGGTAGGGATGTTAGATATTGGGTAATTGAATATCCAAATAACCATATGAGTTCTTATCAGTTACTCGACTATTCTATAGTCCCTGGGGAAAGGGTGGCAACCAGTACAATTTGGCCCCATTCGCAGGGAGCTCCCTGCCATCTTGCGCTGCTGCCTCTGTATGAGAGGCAGCAGTGTGGAGTGCCAGGCGGGAGCCAGTCCATGAGAGGAGCTGGTTTAAAAACCAGCTCCCCACTCAGATTGGCTGCCTGCTCCTCTGTGTTGCTGCCTCTGATACAGCTGACCGGGCAGGGTGGGGTCTGAGCTCGCAGTGGACAGAGGCTGTGGGGGGAAGGGGAGGAGATGCAAGTAGTCAACAAGATTCACTGGTAAGACTAGGCTTACCAGTTAATCGTATAGTCGACTACACATTTACATTCCTAGCGTGTGGCCCACAAGACATTTTGTTTATGGTTGTCCATGCCACAGGATTGCCAGTTTCTGCTGATTTCCATCCACTTTTTTTTTCCTGCCAACATTAAAGTGACACACATGTAAATCAAGGGCATGTGAAGTGTGGCATATGCGAATTGCACACAATATTGACTGTGGGAGCCTTCTGCATCCAGTCAAAGCGCTGCTACAGTTTTATCACTACACCCTGTAAATTCTAGATGTGAAAGCATAGTTAGCAAAACTACCCTATTTCAGGAAACTGTCTTAGTTATGATAATCTGAAATGGAGGGCCACTCATGCAGCCCACTTATTAGCCTAAGTTGCCCATCTCTGCTCCAGAGTATTCTTAAAAGCAATATCATTTACTAGTCAATAAACAAGAGGTTTGGGCGCTATATCTGCCTGTGAGTTTCCCCTGCCATTTTTTGTGGGTTTGCAATCACTTGTCTTGTGTTAGTTTAAAAATGCTTTTCTCATTACTGCTATTATTCAGCAGTTGGACTGCATGTTAGAGATGTAAAATTGCCCTAAAATACATTAAAATAGGTTAACCACCACGGGTGGAGGAACTGCTTTTCTGCTGTCTCACAGGGTTCGACCTGGATCCCTCGTCTGGGCTTTGTAACCTATTACACAGGGCTCTAGAACCACAGAGGTTTGGTCTGGCTGATCCTCACTTATGAGTGGCACTATGACTCTGCATATCAGGCGGCAATGTCACTTGGTTTTGGGAGCCCTCTCAAACAAGAGATGTAGTCAAGTTGTTCCCCCTCTTTCCATCCTTCCTGGCATGGCTCTGAGTGTTAGGAATGCCTTGCAGCAGTAAGCGAAACAATTTTTAGACAAAATGTGATTCAAGTTGGCAATAACTCTTTAAGAAGATGACTTGAAAATTTTCTCTTCTTTCAGACTCTGCCAGTATCCACAAGAAATCGTCCTTCAGATGGTGGAGAAATGTCGAGTTCGAAAGCTGCAATTACTCGCTCACCAGTATATGATATCAAGCAAAATTGAGTTCTTCATAAGTGAAAATCTGCCTGAGTACTTTGCACCGTATCAATCAGAGAGGTTTCGCAGACTGGGGTAAATCAAAAGCTGCTAAATGATAGTGTCACTTTAATCAAAAAAGTAAGATATCGAAGGGGTGGTATGTTAGTCATAGGTAAAATGTTGATGTGATATTATGTAAAGAGGGAGAAGTTGTGTCTCCAGATGCATCTGTGGAATGCCACAATAACCAAGTTGAAATCAGTCAAATTGCATTGACAGAATTTTTCTCTGAGCTTTCAGAACACATGACAGTTGTGTGTTCTCTGTGTTTTAATAAAAAAACATGGGTATAGACATCTTATTAGACTTATTGACTAATAATGCTCAGTACGCAAGCTGACATGTCATCTTTTTAAATATGTATGTGGAATAAGTACAGTTGTTGAAAGGAGAAGAATTCATTAGGATACAGTATACATTAAGTACTGTGTCATTATTTAGCACTTAGAAGCCCCAGTCATGAACCTCACTATGCTAAGTGCCATACAAACACACAAAAATATGATCCATGTCCCAAAGATCTTATAATCTAAGTACATTGTTTCAATTTTTAATACCTTTAGATAGAAAAGTCCTTTTTATTGCAGTTTTAGATGTTGCTTGCCATAACTTCAGTTGGTTTTATGCATCTCTGTTCTCTGATAGTTTGTTAATAATTGAGCATTTGTACACATTTCATTTGCTTAATCACTTTCCCCTGTATAGTTATGTGTCTCTCTCAGACAATGAGAAGACTGGGTACAAGGCACGGGAGCTGAAGTCAGTGTATGTGGATGCAGTAGGACAGTATCTAAAACTCACTTTCCATAAAAATTTCATCAATAGGTACAACTTGTACAGTCAGGTAAGATGAACTAAAATGTTTATTTGATGCTCTAGACAATATTGCAGTTGTCCAAGACTGCAGTAACAAAGTGATGTTTTGGTTCATAAAACTAAAATGATTAAAACTAAAATGGGAAGTTGTTTGTGAAGAAGTAATTCTCAGAAAAAAATGTCAGTTAAAAGTCTGGTGTCTCTTTTATTTAATATGCATATTATTAGCTTCAGTTTATACTCAGGACATTTGGATATTATCAAAAGAGCTGTAGTTTGGCACATTTTTATCCAAGCACTGCAGTATATCATAAGAGTATAGATAATATCAGAAGGTAAAGGTTTTCTTGCTGGCTGCTTTTAAATCAGATTGGCCAAAAGTGGTATTTGGTATATCTGGAACAGATTGATCAAGTGTGTAGTTTGTTACCCCAAAAATAGTCTCACTGGAGATCACCCAGGGTTACATTAGTTAGTATGGGTTTATTTCCACTAGGTAAAACTGAAGATGAGAGAGCAGCCACCAAAGGTTTAAACTAAAGAAGAATCAGAGCTTTTCTCTCTCTCTCTCACACACACACACACCACACACACGCACATGCACACGCGCAAGCAAACAAGCACACATACCCCTCCATTCTTTCACTCATTCCCACACATTCATTCCTGCCCTCAGGCACTCACACAGGCATATGGGTTGCAGAAGGAGCCAAGGAATGTGGATCCTGGAGGGTCTGTCTGCTCATCATGGCTGGGGAAGCTGGTCAGGAGGAGAGACACTGGAGAGGAGTTTCTCAGGAGCAGGGGAAGAAAGAGAGAGAGTCTCACATGTGCTCCCTCTCCTTATATTGTGTCTGAATAGCCTCTGTGACTTATCCACCTTGTCACCAGAGAGCATGCCCAGACTTCCCTTTATCCAGCAAAAGCAGCAGTCTGTGATCACTCATCACCATGTGGTCTATTGTTCCCAATCTTCTTCAAACACAAACACTCTCACACTCATGGGAGAATGCAGTTTAGAGAAAGTTACAAGCCAGGTGGCTGTAAGTTACAAAGTTGCAGTTTACAGTAAGTTTCTAAGAGTTCTAAAGATTACAAAGTTTGACAAAGATCACAAAGATTTGCAGTTAAAACCTTAGACCTTACAGTTTAGTGTAGTTTCAGAAAATCCATGTATGTAAATCAAGTAAGCTCAGGTGGAGGCTTTTTTATGCAACCTAGTTCTATTCTACTTTTGATTTTGAGCTCTGAGTGCTTTATGCAGGAGTGGGGAATGTGGCCCCTGGCTTGCCTGGAACCAGCCCCCAAGACTCAAGGACCCCTCTTGCACTGGGGAGCCTGCACTGGTGCTCAAGCCCCCACGCTGCCCCACTGTGGGACTGGAGCACACAAAATCTACTATCCTGAGCCCCCCTAGGCTCTGGTGTGTGAGGGGAATGTGGGGTGTGTCTGTCTTCTCAGTCAGCGGCCACGTCAGTGAGGGGTTTGGGTGTTTTGGAGTTTTCTTGTTGGTTTTTTGTTTGGTTGGTTTTTGCTTCTCGCTCGTGTGTAGTCCCCGACTTATTTTTCTGTGGGTCAGTGGCCCCTGACCCAAAAACAGTTCCCGCCCTTAGCGTAATGCATAATACAGCCAAGACAAATAGCTTTCTCTGAGATGGAATGCTGCTGCTGCTGATGCCTAGCACTTCACATTACAGTGCTTTGGGATCTGAATGTTTTTGCAAGTGAATTCAGTAGTTACACTGCATATCTAACCAAAATGAGAGAAGCTAAGAACCATTCTCTCTAACTTTGCACAGTTGTGCTGTTCTGAATCAGACATCTTGCCCTATAATAGGTGTATCAAACCACTATAATCCTGTTTCTAGATAAGTTTCTTTAACCAATTTAGTAGCAAATTGTTGAACATACGCATTTTACGTATAGAATGAGCTCCTGCACCCTCTGTTTGAGGGGCTAGGGCCTATAGAATGTGTGAATGTAATTCACTACTAGATAATTTTCAGAAAATAATACAGTAATTCCTCATTTAACACGTGCCCGCTTAACACGTTTTCGCGATAGCATGATTTTTTTTTTTTTTTTGGGAACATTTTTTGAATTACACGACCGTCCGTGGAGTAACACGATTTCCCCAGCCGGCCCGTTGCCGGTGGCTGCGCGGGGCTCCCCCCGCCTCCCGCAAAGCGGCGGAGGGTTTGCCGCTCGTTGCACCATTCCCCGCTGACTCCCCCTCGTCGGACGCCTTGCCCCCTCTCTCCCCCAGCCGGCCCGTCACCGACGGCTGCGTGGGGCTTCCCCTACCTCCCTGCAGAGCGGCGGAGGGTTTGCCACTCGCTGCACCATTCCCTGGCAACCCCCCTTCACCGGATGCAGTGCAGGTCCCAGCAGACCCGTCACAGGGGCATACTCCCAAACCAATCCCCCTCCCCTCTCCTCCCGTTCCCTTCTCCAGAGCCAAACACCTCCCTTCCCTACTGGAACCCACTCCCCTTTCTCCCCCAACCTTATGTCCCAGTCTCAACCACTCAACCACTGCTTGAAAAGCAACCCTCACCTTTTCCATTATTTTCAATGGGAAAATTGACCTCTCGTAACACATTTTCACTTAACACGATCATTTTCTGAAACACATCTATAGTGTTAAATGAGGAATTACTGTACAAATATTTGAGGTGTCAGCACAAGCTGTGTAGTGGCTCAGTGCATGCTATGTAATTACTTTGCTACGGTCTTCATAAAATGCAAGTAAAATAATAGTGGTTTTGTGCATCTTTGTTTCTTCTTTAATTCTATCTTAGGTTGCTCTGGTTGCAATAAATATAATTGGGGAGCCTGCAGACTGCAGCAATGACAGCAATAATGTAAGTATATAAAGAAGGTAGATGAATGTTTCCCTTCCAATAGACTGTCCAATGAAGGTTGGTACTAGGAATGTGAATGTTTAACCGGAGGGGGCTAGAGCAGCTCTCTGCCAGCAGCCTCTGTTTGTGACAAGTCCGGGTGCCTCACAGGCTGGGGGCTGGAGCAGCCCCTGCCTGCATGGTGTCCTGGTCCCCTGTAGGAATAGGCTGCTCCAGCCTGGCCAGTGTAGCCCCGTACGTGCAGCGACAGGGGCACTGGAAAGGTCCCCCACCTGCCAATTAAAAAACAATTAAGCAGGATTTTACATTGCTACTTGCTTCCTAAGTACAGGCAATCCCCGGGTTACATGGATCCGACTTACATCAGATCCCTTCTTACAAACGGGGTGAGGCAACCCCGCACTAGCTGCTTCCTCCCAGCAGACCAGGGAGATGCGGAGCGGCTTTTCTCAGCAGACACCTCAGCTTGAGAATAAAGGACTGAGGGAAGTGAGGTGTGGGAGAATAAAACTGAGCTCTGGAGAAATGTTTGGCTAGAGTTTCCCCTACAATATGTACCAGTTCCGACTTACATACAAATTCAACTTAAGAACAAACCTACAGTCCCTATCTTGTACGTAACCCGGGGACTGCCTGTAGTAAGGATGTTAAGTATTTAGTGACTAATTATGTACTTGATACAATTTCTATTGAGTACAGGATTAGTCGATAAGGGACCACTGCAGTTCTGCAGTTTAAATGTAGTAGGAGCCGAGCATGCAGGCAACCTTGTTCCTACTACATTTAAACTGCAGAGCTGCAGAGGGAGTAGGTCCAGGACCCAGCATGAGCCGGGACTGCATCAGTCCCGATTAGCACAGGGTCCGGACCATTGCATCTATGCCTTTTAAAAATAATAGCCAGGCAGTTCTTACTACATTTAAAAGGCAGAACTGCAGCATGCTGCTCCTCTGCCCTTCTCAGCCCCACACCGCGGAGACAGTGCTGGTGGGAACCGGCTTTTAGGCTGGCTCCCCCAGCACCGGCTCCTGCTTCCCCACCCTTGCTGCCTCTGATATAGAGGTGGCTTGAGGGGTGGGGAAGAAATGTGAGTAGCCAACTTGACTACTTTTGCATCCCTAGTATGTACTTAATAATGACATGCTTCACCTACTGTAGGTTGGCTTTTGATTTTTGTTGTTCTTATATTAGTTTTGTTTAAAGAGCCATCATGCACATGTTTTCGGTTGTTTGTTTTTTTTCTTTGATTGTTTCTTTTTAGTATAACTTTAAAAAAGAAACTTACTTAGAAGTAAACGAAAATGGTATCATGGAACTCAGTATATTTATATTTTAAGTCTTGTTATAAAAGGCTCAGATTATTTTTACATGCATGTGTACATACAGTCCACTATATAACATGCAAAATGGCCCCCTTCCTGGATTGGAGTTACTATCTGCAGAATTAAGGTAGAAAACATCAGCTCCAGCCTTTTCATAGGCTGGGTAGTATTCCTCACTTTAAACTGCAACCCGCACCCTATCTTCTTTATCCTAAGAATCACTTCCATGTTCCTGTCCACAGAAGAGATGGTCCAGCAGAACCTACTAACCCTAACCCTAACCTGATAATGAAGTGGGGTGTTTCAGGCAAATGTTGTTGTTCTTATAGTACAGTAAATATAATTTATTAGTTTTTAAAATAAAACTTACTATGTAGTTTGTGTATAAGAGAATTGTTTGCCATGTTTGGTCTATTCTGCTAAACAACTACAGTAAACTTCCGATAATCCGGCACCTTTAGGACCCAGGGGGTGCTGGATTATCAAATATGCCAGACTATCGGAAGGTGGGACTATAAGGGATCTAGGGTGGTGTGGGGGGGGATGCCACCCCAGGCCCTTCATAGACCCCCCTTCCGATAGTCTGGCTCTGCCCCAGGCGTCCCCGATTTAGCCGCTGCAGGTCAGTTTCAGCAGCTGCTGAATCTGTACGCCTGCGGCAGAGCAGCTGGGGTGCTGCTGGGTTGGTCCAGTAGCATTGCCCCTTGGCGCTGCGAGATCAACCCTGCAGCACCTCAGTTGCTCTTGGGGACGCCTGGGCCAGAGCAGCTGGGGTGCTGCTGGGTTGGTCCCATAGTGCCAAGGGGTGGCGCTACCGGACCAACCCTGCAGCACCCCAGCTGCTCTGCCCCAGACGTCCCCAAGTCAGCCGCTGCTGAAACCGACCAGCGGCGGCCGCGCG